GTGCAGAAAGGGTTCAATGAATATGGCCACCCCACCCATAGTGTCTCAAGGTGCCGTACCGCCCCATATCAATTCCAACTACGCTAAAAAGCAGTTGGGGAGCGAACACTAAATGAAATGTAAACAGCGTAAGTACTGGAAGTCCATAGATAAAACAAAAATAATCCCCATCTGCACGTGTTTTGACCTGTTTGCAAAGAGCCCCCAAGAAAAAGATGAGGGTTTGTGCGTTCTTTGCAAAAACGTAAATGGGAGGGATCCAATACGAGTCCAGCTTCTCCAAGTGTAGTCATTGCGCCCTTAACAAAAGCGCAGACAAAAAATAAATTCTGGAAGTGTTAGAAGTCATCGGACCGATGGGAAAAAAAAAACCCAAAACAAAAATCATCGATGAGTTAGGAACGCTGGGACTGGTTCTGCCCGAAGGAATTTTGGAGAGCATTAAGGGCACAGCGGGCGGCTTCGCGTCTAGCCTCCTCGGCCTCCATTTCGGCAATGCACTGCGTAGCCACGTGAGCCAAGATCTGCAGTCGGCTAATTTTAGCACCTTCGACGAAGCACGAAGGAGAGGCGGGTGGCGGGGTTTGTCCGAGTTCATCTCTGGAAAGGAAACTACGTTTGTTGGGCAGCTCTGCTGAGGAGCCGCCTTCTTCAGCTTTCATAGTGGGGGCAACTTTTTGCATGATGAGGTCATGGCCGACTGTGGCAAGAGCATGGATGGGATGTCTGAAAGGGTAAATCAGAGGCACTAGACCCCCGGCCATGGGCGGGACCACCAACATGCTTGGCAATGTAGTGTGATCAATTGACGTAATATGAGGGAACTCTATAGATGGCATCGCTGGGACCTCTAGAGTGGTGTGCTGAATGCATGTAGACGACTCTGGAGTTTTGCTTCCCTTACGAGAGATTGTGTATTGATTGGGATCCTTCCCATCTTTGCGGAGCATGTCGGGTAGAATTCTTCGGCGAGCGTTAATGAACCAATTGCAAATCTGTAAAAAGCAAAAAAAGGAAATCACTTAGCAAACATCTAATTTATAAATAAAATTGTACTAGTGTAAATATATAT